GCAAACAGGCTGCCGCCACAGATCTCACACTGCAACACTGCAAACAGGCTGCCGCCACAGATCTCACACTGCAACACTGCAAACAGGCTGCCGCCGCCACAGATCTCGCACTGCAAACAGGCTGCCGCCACAGATCTCGCACTGCAAACAGGCTGCCGCCACAGATCTCACACTGCCACACTGCAAACAGGCTGCTGCCTCCACAGATCTGACACTGCAAACAGGCTGCCCCCGCCACAGATCTCACACTGCATTGCTTATTTTATTTGGACTATAAATGTCACTGTTAGTTGCTTGATGGTCTTTACAATATAAAATGTTTACATTAAACACAAAATCTACTACTGAGTTTGATGGCCCATCCTGAGTTGTTCCTTGCCTTGTGCCCGCAGCCTCCAGGATAGGCTCTGGACCCTCAGTGACCATGAATAAGACAAGCAGTCACATAAAATAGATGGATAGACTGATGGATGGATGGATGGATGGATGGATGGACAGATAAAAAGAAGAAAGGAAGAATAAGAATAGGGACTATACCACACTGATGTGGCAAAAATGAAAGACATGACCTTCGGCGTAGTGTTCAGGGAGCGATAGCGACGTGGTGAGATCCCCGGGAGATTCAGGCCATCGACGTTCTGCCGTAAACACAGACTGATGGATTGTTTCTTTGACTGATTGATGATTTGAGGATTGCCTGATTTTCCTCTGTCTTTCTGCAGTGAGCTGAAGCTGACGAAGCTGCAAGCCCTCCCTCCCCAGGCGTTCTATGCACTTCAGAAGCTTCACAGGATGTATGCCCGACTCCCCCCCCCCCCCCACCTAACCACTGCCATAACATCACACTGCATCTCCACTACGTCTCCATGCCAGTGTGCGGTTTGTACTGAAACAGGAATGCAGACCACTGTACTTGTATTAACTTGTCCACGGAGAGTTACACCCCATGCAATGGGCTGCTCTTATAATAATACAGATATATTTATATACTTAATAGATTTCTATGTCTTGTTAAACTTTTAACTAGCATGAGTAACATGGAGATTTGCAACTTGCATTTCACAAATTACTTATTAATATCACACATACATCCAAATTACCTAAAGAAGTTTGCTGACATTTAGGGCTGTCCAACTTTTAAAAATCAGTATTTAGTCTTGTGAGCATGTTTAGTCTTTGACCTGGAACACTGAGTATTTTGGTTTACTGTGTCCAATACGTTTAAGAGGTGGACAAGATACAAAGAATCATTTTCAAAGCAAAGTCATCCAGAGAGGCATCATCCAAAGGATTATAAATTACATTTAATTTTTACATTATTGTTGAGGTTTATATTACTAATGATGAGTGAGGATTTAATAAGACGCTGCTTAATTATCAAGTCACATCCTTTGAATTTTTATACCTATTGTCTGACTCTAAACCTTATCTGTAAAGCTACACATTTGTGACATTCTAGCAGGAAACAAGAACAACAACAATACTAATACTACTGCTACTTATTCGACTACTACTAATAATAATAATTATGATTATTATTATTAATATACATTAAAAACCAGCATGACAAACAAACATAGTAATTGAACTTCTTCCACTGACTGACAGAGATGATGCAATATCTTCATATTTTACGAGGGACAGAATGACAGATTCAGATCTTAGGTTACGCGTCATGCAGGTTTACATACTGATCCCATGTTCGTTTATCAGTAATCAGTCATAACAAATCATGTATTTCATGCAGTAATTACATTAGTTTATGATTTATACTGAGTTACTTGTACCTTATCAAGTAAAGTGTTACCAGTTATACTGAAAATGTGCCTATATATCATGCTACTGATGATGGATGTCATTTGGTTCATAACACATTTCTTTTGGTCTTCTTGTGATCCTGTTCAGTGAAGTGTCCAAAAATGGATTCCTGGAGCGCATAGGAGCGCAGGCATTTGCTGACCTGTCCGAGCTAGCGGAGCTGTAAGTAGCTTTCCTAATATGAGCCTCCCTATTGCGCGCTTCCCTGATGCGCGCCTCCCTAATGCGCGCCTCCCTATTGCGCGCTTCCCTGATGCGCGCCTCCCTAATGCGCGTTTCCCTGATGCGCACCTCCCTAATGCGCGTCTCCCTGATGCGCGCCTCCCTAATGCACGCCTCCCTATTGCGCGCCTCCCTATTGCGCGCTTCCCTGATGCGCGCCTCCCTAATGCGCGTTTCCCTGATGCGCGCCTCCCTGATGCGCGTCTCCCTGATGCGCGCCTCCCTATTGCGCGCTTCCCTGATGCGCGCCTCCCTAATGCGCGCCTCCCTATTGCGCGCTTCCCTGATGCGCGCCTCCCTAATGCGCGCCTCCCTATTGCGCGCCTCCCTGATGCGCGCCTCCCTGATGCGCGCTTCCCTGATGCGCGCCTCCCTATTGCGCGCCTCCCTGATGCGCGCCTCCCTATTGCGCGCCTCCCTGATGCACGCTTCCCTGATGCACGCTTCCCTGATGCACGCTTCCCTAATGCGCTATCACAGTGTGCATTCTGCCCATTCTAGCCTAATCTCAGTCAACCCATCATGCGGAGTGCAGCACCCAGATTTTATCTTAGCGTCGATTTCAATCACTTATTTCTTTTTACAGAACAATCACTAATTCAAGACATCTGGCTATCATTGACAAAGACGCCTTCTGGAATCTGCCAAAATTGAAATATTTGTGAGTGTTATTTATTTGTATAAGTTTGACTTTTAAAATCAGTTTTACTTCTCCCATCTTACACGTGAAACCACAAAACCGCAGAAGGAGACAGGTCTTGGTTTTTAGTGTGGTGTGTAGATATCAGCTTCTCATACCTCTGCATGTTTAATTCTTTTTATATATGTGTCTATTATATGTCAAGTGAGAATAAAATTAAAAGCTGAAAAGCACAGAGTGAACAAACAGACTGAGATGAAATAAAGTCTTCTAACAGTATTACAAAATACAAAAAATGATAGATGACGCGACTGCAATAGGTATGCATGAGTATCTACAGACCACGGAATGGTGCATGAAAACAAGTCACATAGCAGCTGATTCTGGGTCAGATCCGTCCACATCTCCTTAAATATACATATGATCAGTCACTTACCAGATGTGCAGGTGACGCACTAAGAATCTTTGGGGCGATCACCCCACATAGCAAGATGAGTCTGAACCCAATCCGGGCCGAATGTTGTTCAGAAATCGCCACAGATCTGTAAGCTTGTTAGTTCACGCTTAGAACGGCATTTTTTTATGAATTACATAAAATTCCAGATTAAGCGACATGATAACGCGCCCATGTTTATGCTTCTGTCTGGACACATCGATTTGTTCAGTACAAATGTGTTTGTGCATTTCCAGATCAATCTCCAACACCGGCCTCAAGCTGCTCCCCGACGTCTCGAAGATCAACTCTGCAGCATTGGACTTCTTATTGTATGTCTCTGTATGCTTAATCGTACTGCGTGTGCATGTGATGGTCCTGTCATTTCTGCACAAGAATTAACGTATTTGCACAAATGTTTCTTCTAAGTTGTGCTTCTGAGTTAGAAGGTTTTATCAGATACTTCTGAAGCAAGAGCTTTTCGTCTTAAATAACACAAAGCCTGGGCTATTAAACATCCTGCATGAAGATATCACAAAGATCCTCGGCACCTTTCCGAAACTCATTCCCTTCCATAGATTTAAACCTTACGCCATAAGCAGTCTAACTCCACATCACTTTACTGATATTTGTAATAGTATTTGCTTATTAGTACATTACTCAGGAAAACTTTGAGTGTACTTACCATTATTAACTAATTAGTTAACTGTTAACTAATATAGTGCAAGAATGGAATATGAACTGTCTTGATTGATTAATGATGAACGAGCATGGAATCAGTATGTAACTAACACTTAGTTACTGGTCAATTAATGCATTAAGTAAGCATGTATTGCTACATTATTCATGTCCCCTCAAGTAAAGTGTTACCCATTTTTCGATGCTCTTGTAACCATTGATAACTACACTGAAGCAGAATGGATGACGTATGGACTGGCTTTGCTTGCAGTGACCTCCAGGAGAACATGCACATAGAAACCCTCCCCCCAAATGCGTTCCTGGGGCTGAGCACAGATGTCATTAAGGAGCTGTGAGTAAAGAGCTTTGCTTCAGCTCGCCGTCACAAACCTGCTCAGGGTGATTTTATCTGCCCAGAAAAAAGCAGCCAGTCCATAACAATAACATTTATTTTCCTTCTCTGTCACTCATAATAATTAATACAGTCAAACCTCGGATTGCGAGTAACTTGGTTTGTGAGTGTTTTGAAAGACGAGCAAAATTTTAAAATAAATTTTAACTTGATAAACGAGCGAGGTCTTGCAATACAAGTATTATGTATACGCTTTGTCTGCCTAGTGTCACGTGATCACAACTGAGCTGATGGTTCTTCTCTCTCTCTCGCTACGGGATTGTGGGTAATCGTCTCCCATGCTAGGTCTCAGTCGGCGTGCCTCACTCATATAGTCAAAATTTAGTAGATAAGCACCACCCAAATAAGGGCGTAGCAGTCCAAGCGATGAATCTGTTTAACAACAATGCAATGTCCACATTTCCTTGTTCCTTGTTAAAGTCGCACAGAAAGAAAAAGATTCCAGTGAGGCAACAGATAGCAGTGATTCCGTTAGTCATAGTGAAAGTCGTCCTACAAAATAACCCTCCTCTTCTCCTCTCTCTCGTCTCCCTCACACCATCTATAATTCTTGTCAAAGGTAAAGTGCAGGTCAATTTGTTTTATGTATTTTTACTTTATATTTTGTATTCATGACTTTTTAGTGAATATTTTTGGGTTGTGGAACGGATCATCTGAGTTTTCATTATTTCTAATGGGAAAATTCGCTTTGATATATGAGTGCTTTGGATTATGATCATGTTTCTGGAACGAATTATGCTCACAATCTGAGGTTTTACTGTATGTATGTGTATGTATATATGTGTATGTATATATATAAACCTGTTAATGGCCCAGTGGCTCCTGCACTCCAAAGGTGTGTAGTTATAGAAACCGCCATTTCTAAACTGCCTGTTGTGAATGACTGTGGGTGCGAGCTGCATATATGTGTGTGTACAACGGACTGACATCTCATTCAGGGCATTCCCGAGCCGTGGGCCTGGTGAAGCCTGAGATAGACCAGCACAAGTGACTGGAAGATGGATGGATGGATGGACAGACGTGAAGAAGTGACTGAAGAGGGAAGAACACCAGGTTCTTTTAATAATCCCACTACACCTCCCCACAGGAGACTGACCAGAAACGGGATCAAGGAAATACAAAGCCACGCTTTCAACGGCACAAAGATGCAAAAACTGTGAGTGCCCCGTTCCTGCTTAATTCACACATCGCACAATTTATAGCAGCACCCCTTAGCATCTTAACATGCGATTCAGGAGAAACAGGCGAGACACACCAGGCAGGTGATGAAATAGGGGAACAAGGGGGAGACGAATCACATGGGAGATGCGTACCCCTGTGAAGAAGGTAAAATAATGAGTAAGAAGCAGCTGCCAGACGAAATATACCATAAGTTACCAATTATACAGGGAAATTCACATTGCTGACAGACGGAATATACCATAAGTCACCAAAATAGGGGAGAATTCACATTGCTCTATAACAAAAACCTTTTACATACTTCACACTCTTTACATGACCGAATTTTTTAAAATCTTACTGGCAGACGTTATTACACAACTATAACTAAAACTTTCAGAAGCACTGAAGTTTGGTGAAATGTAACATATGCTATTTACTTTGCTACACATGAGACAGGTGTGACGTGTGGACAGGAGGGACAGAGGAGACAGGTGTGACGTGTGGGACAGAGGAGACAGGTGTGACGTGTGGGACAGGAGGGACAGAGGAGACAGGTGTGACGTGTGGGACAGAGGAGACAGGTGTGACGTGTGGACAGGAGGGACAGAGGAGACAGGTGTGACGTGTGGACAGGTGGGGCAGGTGTGACGTGTGGACAGGTGGGGCAGGTGTGGCTCATTAGATATGAGCTGATTCTCTGCTTTCCTCTTTTCCTACACAAGGTCTCTCATGGGAAATCAGTTGCTGAAACACATCCATAGCCAAGCCTTTGTAGGAGCCCAGGGCCCCGTCGTGCTGTAAGCAGTGTTTCTGCCTGGTTCTTCCCACATAACCCGCTAACCAACATGCCCTTTACTGGTATGGGGGTAACACCAGTGAACTCCTCGTCACTGAAAGCTGCAGCTTTAGTCTGTTGTCAATATGTCCTGCCCATGGCTTATTTGCTGTTTCTATACTGTCTGTTTCTCTAATGTGCCAGATTGCTCCAAAATAACAATCAATCAAATTTTAAAATACAGAACCAGTCAAAAATGTGGAGAGTGATAGTTTCGCATCACATGACCTGGCCACCTGACCTAAACACAGTAAAAATGGTTTTGGAGGAGTTTGCCCAGAGAGTGAAGGAAATGCAGCCAATGAGCACTCAATATATACATGGGACCACCTTCAGAACCAATGGAAAAGCATCCCAGGAGGCCACCTCATGAAACTGACGTAGAGGAGACAGTAGGGTCAGCCACTCCCTGGGGCAATTGGGGATAAGGGTCTTTTTGTTTGATACATTTTTGGTCAGTGCATAATTCCCTATGTCATATTTTATAGTTTTGATGTCTTTGTGATTATCCTAGAATGAAGAGAATAGTACAAATAAACCTTTCTATGCGTAGGTGTGTCCAAACTTTTGACTGGTACTGTAAGTATACAGCACACTATAGTTTCAAGCATTTGGCGCCTTGCTTTGCTGTTTGTGATAGTGCCACAAACATTCTGCTGATGTGTGATCACTGCCCCATGGTAACTGTGGCGCAGGGACGTGTCGCACACTGCAGTCAGTGTCCTACCGGAGAAGATCCTGAAGGACATCAAGGTCCTGATAGCAAAAGCGGCAGAAAGGCTGAAGAAGCTGCCCAGGCCGGACCTCTTCACCCAGCTGACCGAGGCCAACCTTACCTTTCCCAGCCACTGCTGCGCCTTCGCCAGCTCCAGGAAAAACTCGTAGGTGGCCGCTGTTAGCAACCGAAGCGTCCAGGTGGAAATCTGCACTGGAGCCAGTTCACATGCTTGGCCAATATGGTCGCGTGACAGTTTGTATCTGTGCTCACAAGAGCTGTGTTAACCTCAGATTATGTGTGTGTATCGCTGTGCTGATATAACAGTTAATTTGCGTGCGTTTGCACGTTCCAGGTCCATGGCAAGCTCCCTGTGCCACCTCCCTCAGATCCAGCAAGATGAGCCGTATTTCTTCCGGGATTTTTGCTGGAACGCTAACAGGGTGATGTGTTTCCCAAAGCCGGATGCTTTCAACCCCTGTGAGGACATCATGGGCTTTACCTACCTGCGCATACTTATCTGGTTCATTAGCGTGCTCGCTATCATAGGGAACCTGGCTGTGTTGACGGTGCTGCTCAGTAGCCGCTACAAGCTAACCGTGCCGCGCTTCCTCATGTGCCACCTGGCTTTCGCCGACCTCTGCATGGGCGTTTACTTGATCCTCGTCGCCGGCGTCGACGTCCACACTCGCGGACGCTATTACAACTATGGTGTGGACTGGCAAACGGGGTCCGGCTGCTCCATCGCCGGCTTCCTCATCGTCTTCGCCAGTGAGCTGTCGGTGTATACGCTGACTGCCATCACCCTGGAGCGCTGGTACACCATCACCTTCGCCCTGCGGCTGGACCGGCGCCTGCGGGTGCGCCACGCCTGTGCCGTGATGGCCGCTGGCTGGCTTTTCGCCTCGATAGCTGCCCTGCTGCCCATCGCGGGTGTCAGTAGCTTTTCCAAGGTGAGCATCTGCTTACCCATGGATGTGGAGACGGTGGCCTCTCAGGCCTACGTGGTGGCGCTCCTCCTGCTCAACGTGGCCGCCTTCCTGGTAGTTTGCGTCTGCTACCTGTGCATCTACCTGTCGGTGCGCAAACGTACCTTCGTGCCCGCCAGCGCCGACATGCGGGTAGCCAAGAGGATGGCCGTGCTCATCTTCACCGACTTCCTGTGTATGGCTCCCATCTCCTTCTTCGCCATCTCGGCTGCCCTCAAGCTCCCGCTCATCACCGTCTCACATGCTAAAGTGCTGCTGGTTCTCTTCTATCCAATCAACTCTTGCGCCAACCCGTTCCTCTATGCCTTCTGCACTAAGACCTTCAAGAGGGATTTCTTCATCCTGGCAAGCCGTTTTGGCTGTTTCAAAGCCCGGGCACAGATGTACCGTACAGAAACATCCTTGTTACAGAATGGCGGCTCGACTCCCACCCCCAAGACATGTGAAGGTACCCTCTATTCACTGGTGCCTATCAACCATTCGCACTGAGCCGCACACATACCCAAAAAAGATCACACTCTTCTACATCCTATGAGAATACAAGTTTTTCATGCCTGTGGTTATATGAAGACTTTCTGATATCATCTCTGTAGCAGTATGGATTTTAAGAGGATGATCTGTATGTTTATCTCAGGTTTTCACAGCAATTCAACGGCTCCATGGAAGTCATTTTACTAAGCTAAAATAGAACGCTAGAAGCAAAACAAATTGGCCGCCTACATTAACACCCACACATTATGTGAAGCTTGAGACCTGTGATGCTCTATCATTGCTGATTTCTTGTATTTGGGACGTGTATTGGCACATTAAATGCAAGTTCTTATGGTGGAATGGTTCAGCATTTTCATGAGGTTGTGCAGCTCTTTATAGACTTCATAGACAAAGTGTTCCTGTAGTGTTACAAATAATGGGTGTACTCTAGCCTAGAATTAGTCGGTTTGGTAACACTTCAGGGGGCACAAAAAAATGTAGTACTACGCTCTTACTTAATGCATTAATTAACCGGTAATTAATGTTACGTACTGATCCCATGTTCATTCATCATTAATTAATCATGACGGTTCATGTATTTGAAGTGTTTCATACAGAAACTATATTAGTTCATGATTTGTTCTCGAGTGGTGCCTGTATTGATGATATGCATACGGTGCTGCTGACGTTTTTCCGGTAAAATCTCAGCCAGCTAAAGTAATGCTGATAACGTTTATCAGCTAGCGGCAGCTAATGTTACAGGGCAAAATGGTTTGTTCACATTTTAAATGTCATTGTCTGATTTTGTAAAACTGCATTGTTCATGTTTGCCTGCTTAGGCACAATGTCTACAGTGTTTTTAATTACCTTGTCCTTTAATTTAATTACCTTGTCATTGCAAGGTTAATTAATCTGTGTGTGTCCACATGAAACATGACTGAATGTACGATGTCTCTGTTTATCTTTTCTCTCCATGCCCCTTTGAATGCATAATCTATAAGCTTGTTCTGTATATTAATCATTTTCAAAATTAAAATTAATTAATGAAAATTAAATTATTAGAAGACGAAAATCAAAATGGCAGGTAATAATAGATTATAATGAAATTTTTATGACTCTGCCTGTGAAAGTGACAGACAATGCAGGGTGACCACGTTTGCTTTGCAAAAAACACCAGCAGGACACAAAGAGAGGCATCAATATGCACACAGAAAGTATTCTGGCTGTAGAAAGCAAATGTTACAATGAAACAAAGTGAAATTTCCTAGGAGAATGAGAAAGTCTACACAGCCTCTGCTTGAGACGTATAGTTTGATGCTCTTTTTGTATATGATGTATGGCACGACACCTGAGTAATGTGACTAACGCACTGAAAATGTCATAATTAGTCAGTTGTTGTTACACTGTATGAGCACTGGAAATGAAACAGCTGGTTCACTGAATGTAGAAGAGCATGTGCATGTTAGCGGATTGTAGCCTGACTTCATCTTTCATCCTCCAAGATGGTCCGGCCTTCAAATTTGGCCAAAATTAGCAACTGCTTTACGAATTCAAGGTTTCAGATGTTTGCCAATTCTTTAATCCCCACCAAAGGGGACTATTCTCTTCCCCCATGTTCTTCACACCTTGACCGGTAGTGACAACATAAAACATTTTGTTAGGACATGGTCTCCTTGGTGACTGAATACAAGGCTGCTCTCTGATGGAGACTTATCTCACAACAAATTGATATTTTCCTGTTTTTAAATAACCCCCCCCCCCCAGATGTGTCTGCTTCAGTGTTGTGAGAAGCACTGAAGGCTTATATCAGAGGGGAAACTGTTTCAGCTATTAGGAAAAAAAAACTCTGGAAGGAGAAATCAGCATTTTTAACACCGTACTTAGCAGAACTTGACAATCTGCTGGCTTCGATAAGGGCGGCACAGGCAGAGTATGACACTCTCATGTCTCAACTCCTAATGCAAAAAACCTGCTACTATTATGAGCACGGTGACAAATAGCCAATTAATGGCACACCAGCTGCGACACACTGCTTTATCTCATCAAATTCCAGATTCAAACCGACTCAGGCTGTGCTACAGATCTGGAAGATGTATGGCTATACGTCATATTCTCCAGATTCCGATCGTTTCCGGTAGTTTTGGTCATCACCTCACTGGAACAATGCACTTTTAACACTTCAGATACACCTATTGCTTTATCCAAACTTACCACAGCTGTGTCCACTCTGCAAAGTGGTAAATGTCCAACATCGGATGGATTTCTATCAGGGTTCTATAAAAAAAATGTTGTCCCCAGATCCCTGTCAGACTGTCCATGTTTTTGCTCCCTCCCAGCACCCAGTAGCAAAAACGTGGACTATCTGGGGCTCCCCAAGGACTGGGTTGGGAGACACTGTTAAAGTCTCCCTTTCTGCACTTGCCCAGGAACTGTAGCTGTCCAACATAGATGCTTCCGTTCTGGCTGCCTTCTCTGTTCTTCATTTGGCCAGATATCTGGTTATATATCGAATCTGAGCAACAGCGAAATATTTAATATAAAAACAGCTGCCGAGAGATACCGCTTACATAACCCCACTTTAAGATTGCAGGCAGATAACTTCACTTATCTCAGCTTAACTATTACACATAAATTCCAAAATCTCTTCAAGGATAACTGTCCCACTGTTGACTGGGATTCAGCATAATCACAAGCACTGGTGTATTTTGAGTCTCTATCTAGTAGGCAGAGTTAACGTTATCAAAACGAATGTTCTACCGTGTTCAAAAATCAAAATGAATGTTCTCTGTGTCGAAGCATTCCAGTGTTTATTCCTCAGGGTTAGGGTTAGGGTTAGGGTTAGGGTTAGGGTTTTGCAAAGTTGCCAGCTTAGTTTTGGAATTTGTCTGGGAAAATCATACCAAGAGTGTGTAAAATATCAACAAAAACCAAAGATATTAGAAGCATCAACTTTACCCAGTTTTAGACTTTATTATTGGCTTGTAATATTAGAATTTTTAACATTGGCTTAAATCAGAGACCCTTAACTTTCCCCCCAAATGGGTAGCCATGGAGACAAATCCAGTATGTTTAAAACCCCCGCTCACTGTGCCTCATCTTATCCTTCAGAATGTAATTGTCAGGATTTCTCTCACGATCTGGGTTCGGTTTAAGTGCCCCTTTGTCCCACAGTCACACTCCGTTTACGCACCTCTGGTGGCTAATCACGCCCCCCCGTCTGCATACACGGCTTTCTTTACTTTGGTTTAGATTAGGTGTGTGACAGTTAAAAGACTTGTATACTCACAACGTGTTGGCCTCTTTTCACCAACTCAGATAAATATTCTCTTCCTAAGCAGCTTTTTTTAGATACAAGTTCAAAGTTTTGTTTGTGCCAAATTCCCCAGATTCCTTTTCGTGGGGAAGGACACGCATCTTGATTACTTCTTGTTTACTGCAGCTGTTTTTCTGAAAGGTCTAACATAGTTCATCTTCTGTGCCCTCAAACCTCGGGACTCAGGAGAGAAAATATCAGATAATCTCTGGATGGATATTTTAAGTTGTGGGCGTAATTCCTCTATCTGCACAAGACGTGGCCTCTTACAATACAAGCTTGTTCATTGTACTTTTTACACCATGGTTAGACTCTAAGACAGAGGTAGGTATCCCTGATCCCAGAGTGCCAGGGTCCAGCACTCTCCTGCCGATCTTATTCACAAGTTCTGGCGATCTCAATGCTAGTGTAACTATTGCACAGACATTTTCCAAGCCATACAAAACATTACTGGAGAAACTGCACCAAATCCTTCTACTGCTGTTCTTGGGATGTCGTTTTCATCTTCTCTTTCGTCAGTGCGAAAGAGAAGCTACCCTGATATCCAGATATTAAATAATTCATTAGAAATCAAAGACCCCCCCCCCACCTCCTGTTTCTCTTAGACTTATACTAAAGGTCTCCTCCAAAAAAAAGTGGAAAACATGTGAAAGCCATTAACCTTGTAAATGATCTAGACTGAAAGATCAATCCGGTAGATTGTGATTTCAGTGCAATAAAGGTGACCGTATGATTGCATGTAAGTTACATAAGTACACTGACCATGCAATAATCTACTATCCAACTCCTTTTTTCTTTATTCTTTTGTCTGTGTCTCTGCTGTTGATACACTCTGAATTTGATTGATTTGTCGTATTGTACTGTTGTTGTTTAGCGGGCATATTTGTTTATCCTCTATTTTGGACAATCGATTGTTGTGTTTGAAAATCACAATAAGCAAAGTAAAAAAAAAAAAAAAACAGTCAGTGACCAGTAGTATCACATATTTCTTTTATTCTGGCAGTTTCCTGCATACTTGACTGCCTTTCTCCGGTATGCCCATGTACTGTACGCGTCCGTGGGCAGAGCAATGCAGCAGAGAGGGATCGCCATTGTAGCACAGAGAAGATCCCTGTCATGCTGGCCTTATTCTGTGCATCCAAGGCCACAGTGACCGCCAAATGGAATTCCAGGAGACACTGTGGGGAATGAAATGCACTCAGTAGGTGCGAAAACACCTTAGTCGTTTATTTGGAACTTTTTGTGGTTTGGAAGATTCTCTAGTGCAATACATCTGTTATGTATCATTAAAGAAAGGATATGAAATACACAAACTAAGCAGGCCGCAATTACTATAAGTAAAACCGGTAACCATAGTCATGTATTATATTATCTATAATATTATGTAATATAATTAAGTTTGACAAGTGTGTGTTCCCTGGTCACCTGATTTATTTTCTGTCTTTGAAGCTTGATCAGACGAGGGCCGTGCATGTGCTGAAGAGACTGACTCTGCCACCACAAACCTCAAAGATTCGTCAGTGTGAGTCTGACATCTAGTGGCAAGAGTCACCGCTTCTAAGCTCTTATCAGACATAATGGGACTTGAGGGAACTGAAGCGTACACCGTTCAGCCATAACATGCATGTGTGGCGTTTGAGGGAGAGATAGTGCCAGGATGCACTACGGGAAGAAGGCAGTAAGGTAAAACACAGCTGAGTGTGAAGCTTTTGTTGCCATCTGGTGTTCATTTAAGGAAGCAGTAGCCAAATTCCTCAACAGTATAAACAACTGTAAGACATACTAAGCAAATACATAAATACTGTTGTAGATGGCTCATTTTAGTTCAACACATACAATGAACTTTTGATTTTTAATAAATAAAACATTGCAACAATTTCATTATTCTCAATTTAATAATATAAACATGTATTATGTGGGAGCCTAACCGTAACCCTATTCCTAACCCTAAACCTATTCCTAACCCTAAACCTATTCCTAACCCTAACCATAACCCTATTAAAAGTAAAGAGGCAGATGTGTTTCCATCAGAATAACAGACATGGGGTATTTTTATTGCACTATAAAGAGTGCAGACAATATAAGAATCACAAAGAATAAATATGTAATAAACACAAACTGCAGGGTAAAAGACTTATGGCAGCTGAAGTCAAAGTAGAACATCCTGCAAAATTAACAATATCTCAGATACTCAAAACACTAACCCTAACCCTAATCCTAACCCTTTCATACAACCAGGACAACCAAATCCACGTCTGATCTATCTAATTACTCTGTGAATTGAACAATATTACAGCTACATTTTAAAAATGGTCAAAGTACTTGTAGATGTAAATCAATTCCCTATGATAACATGTCTTTTGGTCATATATTGAGTGTCACAACCACTAATTTGAGCTACAAAGCCGCTTCTGTGTAACAAAAAGCATGGCGTTGGGTGTCTAATCAAACCTGTTGAATATGAAATTCAGAAACTGAATCCATTTTGGAAAGTGTGTAAATGTTTTTAAAATGAAATTATAATGCAAAACAATCAGACTGAATTAGTCTACATTTCTCAATATGAAGAATTTGACATCTTACCCTGTGTAACTATTCAAAAAAGTAGACTACAGCATAATGGCTCCTTACAAACCTTCAGAATTCAGGATCTTCAACCTCGGCTTACAGCACACAGTTTGTGAGGGGAGGGTTTGAGGGTGAACCCAACCGCTGGAGTGAGGTCCAGATCAGATTCAGACACCCCAGGAGGTGGAGTGAAATGGAACTTCTGCAGAAGTGAGATGAAGAGACTAAGTCTGGAAAGTATCCTGATGGTAAAGGGAAAAGAGCTCACTTTCTCGATGTGGTATCCCCGGAAGACCACGTCACAGCTTGTGATGTGAGGGAGACTCATCAAACTAATGTTGGCCAGTCTCTGTATACGGCGTCTGTATACAGCAGGTTCTTCCTGTCTGCCACTCGAGTTTGCCGACCCCCAATGACCCTGTACACGGTCTAATGGTGGATGGGGAACAGACAGTATCTGTATATAATGGATTTGGGTGCATATCTGTGTATTACAAATGTACTGCATCAAGGCTTTTTGCTTTGTCAGTAACCACTATTTAAACAATATAATAATAATAAAAAAATGCACTAAATTACAAATGCTCTGGTCAAGATTATAATAGCTCTGGTGCTGGGGTTGGCACTGACCCATTTGTAAGTTTAAAATGCATAAAAGCAGCACATAAATTTGTGTACTGTATCAAGGCTTTTTGACTTTGTCAGGAATCTCTATTTAAACAAAATAAATTAAAACAAAATCAAGGTAAGGCATGCCCATACATGTAAGGCAAGATAAGACCAATTCAGTTTATTTATATAATTCTCTTGAGGTTTATTTTACCGTTATTTTTTTGTTGAAAACGAGAGGTATGCTGTTAAAAGAAAGGTCCAGAAAGCCACACCAAAAATATTAAAACCAATCATTTCATGGATAAGGAAGCCTAACAAGGTAACCAACTTAACAAAGTAAGAAACAAATTGGATGATAAATAATTGTTTTGAGGGTATTTTATGTGATTTAAGACACGGGTCGACACCAACCCGCTTAACATAAGAGATAGGAACAGAAAGCTAACATAGGACAAAGGTTAACTTGGCCTTGTCCTGCATCCGCAGTCACATTTACAAAGCCTGTAATTTATCAACATTCTCTTCGTATGGATGTTCATACGCATGAGTGACAAAAAACATCTTCCCATGCATACTGGTGATTCGAACAAACGCATTTAAAGACACCCTTCGAGAAATGAGACGCCTGGTTTATAATCTCATGCAGATACTTATCTCACGCTCCATATCTAATGTATGCAACTCTGTGTCTTTCACTCTGAGCTCTCAGATTACACTGGCTATGTCCTGCTGGTCAGAGCATGATGTAATAATGCCTTTAGGCTAAGCCCCTCCCCCATCCTGGCCTTCGTAAGCCAACAGGAGCCCAGTACAGGTGACTGTCAGCCCACCTCTGACGAATCAGCCACTAGACCATTCAGGTCTTGGTTCCTGAACAACAACCACAACCAGTAGCAGAAGGTGATCAGCAGTCTTCGAAGGGACCATGATCCTCTTGCATGGACTTCTGCAGATTCCCAGCACCGTCATGCTCCTGGGGACCTCGCTGGTGTTGTTGGTCCTGTATCTCCTTCCCAGGACCTATAACAAGGGAAAAGAGCCCGCCGGACCGAGACCTTTGCCTCTCATCGGAAACCTGCTGCAGCTGGATCTCAAGAGACCATATCTCAGCCTCTTCCAGGTACAATGTGTTCCCAGACTCTCATGTGTAGTGGCATAGGGCTGCATATTCTCACATTTAGTACATGTTTAAAAGTGATGCACCCCCAATGGATTTATTTCTCATTATTTTGGTTCTCGTACCTCAATCTGTCGACCTCCTGTTCCTGCGTTAATGTGGTCACATAAGACGTAGACGCTGGAATCAATTAAAGCAAGACTTTGTTTAATTCTCAAAGCTATACACTCATCCATATATTATACGAATATAATCCCACTCAGTCTCAGAACCAATGTTTATGATATAGCAATTGCAATGAGGGCCTCTTTCCATTCACAGCAGTTCATTGTAACCGTAACCACAACTGGCTGATGAAATCTACTGAAGGGGAGCCCCCCCCCCCCCCCCACTTGGATAAATCTACTGAGGTGGACCCTCCCCCGATCAGATTAATGTACTGAGGGACACTCCCAAAAATTGGAGTGTCTCTGATGCTGTTATTTTCAGGGTCGTGGGCTGGAAAGTTTGGAAGCCCCTGCTCTGAAATACAGGAAATAAGTGAGTAATAGAGCTTGTAATGGCACAAGGGCCTCGGTTTCATGTGGAAGCAAACAGCACTGCTGGGTAACGCCGCATGGCAACTGTGGGCGCCCAGGGCAGGCGAGTAATCCAGTCACGCAGGTGCAGTGATTTCAGGCCCTGAAGCAAAAGGCTGTGGGGGAGGGAACGCATGTGGGAGGGGCAACCATGCGCTGAGCCTGTCCCCACCCGCCCACCCCACCCCACCCCACCACTGGGTGTGTATTAATAAGATCTTTTTTAAAAAAATGTTGCAGAGTCAGTTACTATTGACAAGCGTTACATGTGTAAGAAATGAAAGCTCCTTAGCAGATGTATGAAACACTGGGGAAAAATAGATGGGCTACCATGGACTGACTGGTAAAATGTCAAAAGGAACTGATGAGACTGAGAAATGGAGCCCATTTAAAAAGGGAGACATACGCAATGCAGTGAGCTTCCTTTGCAACTGCAATGCAGTGAGGTTCCAGTGAGTTGATTTCAGGATAGCTGAGAAGCCAGTGATGTAAAATGGCAACTTACAGGTTGTCCTACTCATTAACTCAATCAGCCCCAGTTTTGCTGTCCAAATGTTACTGGGGGCTCCAAAACTTCCATTTTGGCTCAAAACACTTCTGCAGCTAGTATGAACAACATTACAGCTTCTGTAAAACAGCACTACATAACCTGAATTAACAGTTTAATTAACACACAGAAATTAGTCTTAAGCTTCCATTCCACACATTCTGGTTTCCATTAGAGCTATGCAGAATTTGCAGAGTTACTCCTCTGTAATGCCTCATTTCTGCGCTGTTGTGAATGAGATCCCTCTGGCAGAACAGGACAAACCGGGATTTAAGCTGCATTGCAATGTTGGGTGCATAAAGGAATTCTTTGGTAACCTTAGAAAGAACGATAATCTCATTCACATAAGGGGTCTGACACAATGCTGTGAAAATTGTTGTAAACAAAACAAAACAAAGCGGAATAATACTTCTACTGGGATACAAGAAGTTTGTGTTTCCAAGTCTGATGTTCTATTAAGGTGAAGCACTGGATAAATATCTTACTCAGCTTCATTTAACCTGATAGACTCTCCTGATAGACTAAGCATATGGCAGAGGGACAGATGTTCTGTAGCTGTCCCTGGAGTATGTAATTAGCATGTAAAAACAGTGTGAGCCAGCGGGAAATAAAGTTTGAGTGCCTAGGACACGTTCCCCTGAGTTTGGTTCAAAATTAGGAGGGTATCCGTCAAAAACCGATACATATACAGGTCAGTCATACAGATCGACACAGACAGCCCTTTTACTGCATATCGCTATAATATTGTTCCATATTAAGATCTTATGACCGACTTGTAAATCTTAGCATTGCAAATTTGAATTTTACTTTGAATTTTACACAAATTAATTTTCTTGCAATGCCATTTTATATACAGGAACATAAACATGAAACAGTATGACCCTTATGTATGTATATACAGTGGTACCTCAGTACTCGAACTCATTAGAACTCGAATTTCTTAAAAGTCGAACCAACCAGTTAAAAAAAATTACCTAGAACTCGATCTGAATCTCAGAAGTCGAACCGTGAACGCCGAACTAAGATAACTTGTACGTGTGGGGAAATGAGTCACACGGCTCGTCACGAAAATAAAGGGTAACGCTTCAGTCTCAGCCTCGCATTCACTGTGATAGCATCGTTTGTTGGTGATAGTGCTTTTTTATTGAAAATATCAGGTAATACATCCATCCATCCATCCATCCTTCCATTAACTACCGCTTGTCCGGGGGTAGCCACTTCAGTAGAGATACCCAGACCTCCCTCTCCCCTGCTACCTTTACCAGCTCCTCGGGGAGGACGCCGAGGCGTTCCCAGGCCAGCCGAGAGATATAATCCATCCAGCGAGTCCTGGGTCTGCCCCGGGGCCTCCTCCCTGTAGGACATGCACGGAAAACCTCTCCGGGTAGCCGCCCAGGAGGCATCCGCACCAGATGTCCAAACCACCTCAACTGGCTCCTTTCGATGTGGAGAAGCAGCGGTTCTACTCTGAGGCCCTCCTGGATATCTGAACTTCTCACCCTATCCCTAAGGGAGAGCCCAGACACCCTGCGGAGAAACCTCATTTCGGCCGTCTGTATTCACAATCTCATTCTTTCGGTCATTACCCATAGCTCATGACCATAGGTGAGGGAAGGGAAGATGGACCAATAGATCGAGAGCTTTGCTTTCCGGCTCAGTTCTTTCTTAGCCACGACCAACCGGTTAAGCGCCTGCAAAACTGCAGACGCCGCTTCGATTCGTCTGTCCAGCTCTCGATCTCGCCTACCCTCACTCGTGAACGAGACCCTGAGATACTTGAGCTCGTCCACTTGAGGCTGTACCTCCTCCCTGACCTGAAGAGGGCATTTATGGACCGAATTGCCCACAATAGCGGACCCCGAACCCCATACTCCTGAAGCGCCTCCCACAGGGCATCTCGGGGAACCCGGTCATAAACCTTTTCCAAATCCACAAAACACATGTAGACTGGATAGGCAAACTCCCAGGCCCCCTCCAGTACCCTCGCAAGGGTATAAAGCTGGTCCAGTGTTCCACGCCCAGGACGAAAACCGCATTGTTCCTCCTGAATCCGAGATTCGATTATCGATCTCACCCTCCTCTCCAGTACCCTGGAATAGACTTTCCCAGGGAGGCTGAGAAGTGTGATCCCCCTATAATTGGAACACAACCTCTGGTCCCCTTTCTTAAATAAGGGGACCACAACCCTGGTCTACCAATCCAGTGGCACTGTCCCTGACCTCCAAGTGCTGTTGAGAAGGCATGTCAGCCATGACAGCCCCAAACATCCAGAGCCTTCAGGTACTCTGGGTGAATCTCGTCCACCTACATTAAATACAAACCCTTAGTATGACTCAAGGTAGTTGTGCTGTGTCTGGGTTTATGGAAAAGGTGTCGTTTTTTTTTTTTTTTTACTTTACACATTGTTTGGATACATTTATTTTCTTACTTTACGAATTACTGTTTTATTAAATGTGCTTAGATGTATTTAGTATATGCTCTTCTTGTTTTATCCTGTTCACTTTGTGTTTAAATGCTAAAAAAAAAAATTTAGGTTAGGAAACCAATTAAATTAATTGGTTTTCCATTAGTTCTTATGAGGAAAATTCGATCAGACTTTTTAGGATTCGAACCCGAGTTCTGAACGGATTACGTTCGAGCTCTGAGGTACCAATGTATATGCATCCTTTTTTGTTACTTGATACAATCTCTGTGTTGGTCAGTCAAACAGCATCTGTTTCTTAAATGTTATTTTTCTCCAGCTGTCTAAAAAATATGGATCAGTGTTCACTGTCCACTTTGGCCCCAAGAAAGCGGTGGTTCTTACCGGCTTCAAGACTGTGAAAGAGGCCCTGGTGAACCATGCAGAGGAATTTGGAGAACGGGAGATATCACCAATATTTTATGATTTCACCGAAGGCCATGGTATGACTCAGTTACATACTGATGAATTTCAACTGTTCAATATTTAGTGAGTGACTTTCAAGGTGATATATTGAGAGAGTACATCAATCCATAATAACGGGTACATTAAATGCACATATTTACAGTAATGCTTTGAGTATCCTGAATAAAAATGACAGCAATCCAATCCCACACAGGAGTCCTGTTTTCCAATGGAGACTCATGGAAGGAGATGAGACGCTTTGCTTTATCCACCCTTCGGGATTTGGGGATGGGAAAACGAGGAAGTGAGGAGAAGATCATAGAGGAGATCCAATACATGTCAGAGGTGTTTGAAAACTTCAAAGGTGAGATAATGGTTGTTAACTTGTTATAACATCCAATTAATGTTAATTTACTACATTAATGATTTATTGAAAAAAATAATTTAAAGCCAGCAAAATATGCATATCAGTGATGTGAGTATTGGGAGAGTCACAATATAATAAAGTTAAACAAAAGACATGATTGAAACAAAAGAGTGGGATGATGGTACTAAAAAATTATTATTGCACAGGTTAATCGGTCTATTGTACGGTCAGTTAAATGTCCTTCTGTCCCCCCTCCTGCTCCCCCTCCTCCCCCCAATGAGGAGTTTGATGGGGTGTAGCGTAATGCAAGTGTTTACCAAATGGCTACATAAATGCTCTGATTCTCCTTCCTGTTTCCCAGGCGAACCCTTTGACACATTGCAGGTAGTGAACTACTCAGTCTCCAACATCATTTCCTCCATCGTCTATGGTAGTAGGTTTGAATACGATGATCTAGAGTTCCAAAGGATGGTAAACAGGGCGAACCAAAATATCAGGCTCACCGGGTCACCTGCCATCCAGGTACTTTTCTGTTTCTACTGTATTTCACTTTTAAGGTTACTAGGGTACAGTCTGAATGGGGCAGCTGGAGGGACATTTGTTTAACATCAGTTCAGTTAATAGAAACTGCAGAACAAGGAGGAAGAAATTCTGATCAACCAGCAAAAGCCTGGCAATCTTAATCTCAGTTCTAAGATCTTCATAAACCTGCCTTCCCTGACAAATTCCATTAAAAACTAATGTTGAGTGATTAATTGAAATAGGAATCTCTCCAACATAAGGCTCCATGGTAACACATCTAATATGGTTTTTGTTTCTGTGGTGGCAGCTGTATAACATGTTCCCATGCCTGGGTCCTTGGCTGAAGGACTGGATCACCCTGAAGAAGAATACTGAGAGCAACATAGAGCAGGTGAAAAGTCTGGTGAAGAATCTGCAGGAGACTCTGAATGCTGAGGACAGGAGATGCCTCGTGGACTCCTTTCTTATCCGACAGCAGGAGATTAAGGTACGAAAGTGTTCAATGGGAAACATCTACATTGATCATACTTTTCTTCCAGCTTTGACATGAGTTTTCTGTTTATTTTTTATCATATCATGTTCTGCAATCTCTACCAGAAATCCAGGGAGCAAGAATTCTCCTACTACCATGAGAAGAACCTCATCATTACAGTGTCCAACCTTTTTGCAGCTGGAACTGACACCACTGCGACCACACTGCGTTGGGGCCTGCTGCTTATGGCCAAGTACCCCGATATACAGGGTGAGGACAGACACATTCACACAGGCCTTAACACGGTACCCCCCCCCCTGTATACAGGGTGAGGACAGACACATTCACACAGGTCTTAACACGGTACCCAACTGGTAAATTTTACCCCCCTGCATTCTGTCTCGTTCCTCTGTTGGCTCCAAAAAATAGCTCGAGTGTCACACAGGGGGCCCCCTAGCCATGTTATCTTAAGGTCCCCAGCGAAGTTAATCTGCCCCTGTCCCCATTCACCAATAGACCGTGTACAGGAGGAGCTGGACATGGTCACTGGGGGTCGGCAGACTCGAGTGGAGGACAGGAAGAACCTGCCGTATACAGACGCCGTCATCCACGAGATACAGAGACTGGCCAACATTGTTCCAATGAATGTCCCTCACATCACAAGCTGTGACGTGGTCTTCCGGGGATACCACATCAAGAAAGTGAGCTCTTTTCCCTTTACCATCAGGATACTTTCCAGACTTAGTCTTTATCTGCCTTGTCTTTAGGGTATATTGTTCATGTCATCTGAAATGTGATGTTTGCTATTGAGTATAACTGCAATAACTGAGCTCCGTGGTTTTTCCTTGTTCCCTACAGGGGACCACTGTCATCCCACTGTTGACGTCTGTACTTTATGATGAGAGTGAATGGGAGACTCCCCATACCTTCAACCCCGGCCACTTCCTGGATGATCAGGGCCGGTTCAGAAGGAGAGATGCCTTCTTGCCCTTCTCTGCAGGTACAGCTCAGGTTCTTCTCTGTCCTTCAGTAAAATGCTTATGAACGGAGCTCTGCTTTTTCCTCTGGCTAACTGTCTGAATATCGTTGTCCGTTATCCCCCTTAATAAGCAGAGAGTATCTCCCCATCTGTCTTTCCTCCAGGGCGTCGGGCGTGTCTTGGAGAGAGTCTGGCCAGGATGGAGCTCTTCCTCTTCTTCACCACACTTCTGCAGAAGTTCCGTTTCACTCCACCTCCTGGGGTGTCTGAATCTGATCTGGACCTCACTCCAGCGGTTGGATTCACCCTCAAACCCTCCCCTCACAAACTGTGTGCTGTAAGCCGAGGTTGAAGATCCTGAATTCTGTTGGTTTATAAGGAGCCATTCTTATATACTGTAAGGTAGTCTACTTTTTTGAATAGTTACATAGGGTAAGATGTAAAATTCTTCATATTGAGAAATGCAGATTAATTCAGTCTGATTGATAATTAACATATAGTATTGATTTTTAACATATAGTAAGCAACTCCACATATTTAGAGTAACAACATAGAACAACTTATTTTGAATAAATTACTCAGGGTCAGATGGTAAACTCAGCCTATTGAGAAATACTGACTGGTGTGGCTCGTTATACTCACTGGGGAAAGAACGAGGGGGAAGAATGCAGGGGGTGACAGTTGTAAGACAGAAGCGGCTTTGTAACTCAAATTAGTGGTTGTGACACTAATATTAGACCAAATGACATGAGTTATAATAAGAAATACTGATTCAATTCACCTAAAGAGTTCATTCTGATTCATTCACCAGCTCGTTCAGTGGCACTTCATAATTGCATAAAATAAATTTGGAACATTTGTGTATCGATATGTCGAAAAATAGGCTATTATTATTGGGCTACATAGTACTAAGGAGTACCCTTTTACAATCTTTTACAATGTTTGCATGCAGTTTTTATCTCGCCTGTGCTTTTCTCGCCGTTTTCGTTTGTGATTACCAGAAAGCTAAAATGCTGCCACACCGCCAATTTAAGATCGGGGGTGTGTCCTCAATTTCAAATTCGCTTGCTGGTTCGGTGAAAACCAAAAACTAACATAGGCTACCTTTTGGCTTTTACTCCCACCTAGTGGTGAAAACATGCAACCGCAAACATAACCATAGAAAACACACAAAAGATTAATCATAAAGGGTCTATTACACTCGCACTATGTTTTCAACTGGTAGGTTTTACATTATTTGTGCAAACCATAATACTACCCCAATACACTTTCTGCCAAATTCAGGAAATTGCTCCTCACAGTTGCCTAGGTGTGTGTTTCACGAGTTCTCTTTAAAAAAATGAGGAATATAGTAGCACAGCCATAAACAGTTACAGCCATTCAACATATTGCTTCAGGAGGAAGGAAGGAAGTGATGTCAAGAAAGGAATTTGGCTGTTGAGCTCAAATATCAGCAACTGCAGAATCACGGACTCAACCTTTTATTTCACCTACAGTGGTTCTTGAAAGATAAAGATGCTTTATTGTCATTGTACAAATACAATGAGATTTCGTTCGGAGCGCGCCAGCAGATACACAGTAAAAAGTTACAATAAAATCCAAAGAATAAAATATGTACACACACACATTCACAGTGAATAAGGTGCTGGTAAATTAGTGCAATATAATCATACTCATGAATGGTTATGATTTTGTATAAAGTGCAGTGCAAGAGCAATTTCGCTGAGGTAGATTTACAGTTATACAGCAGGTTTAAGTACACAAATATTCAGAAAGTTACTGTTCGAGATCAGACCTATCACGGTTGTATCGTCTGCAACCTTAATGATGATGTTAGAATCATGGGTGGGTTTACAGTTGTTTCCAGAAGATTGTGGACCCCTTAAAAATTTCTATATTTTACCATAAATATGACCTAAAAGTAGACAGAGAACTTCTAAATTATCGTGCATTTTAATCTTTATATGATGATTCGTACTTCGTTTGTGGAATAGAGGTTAAAATGCACGGTAATTTCTTGTCATATCGGCGCAAATGCACAAAAAATACGTACGTATTCAGGCTGTTACAACAATCGATTGCCGCACATATCGCTTTTAAAGGTGAATGCGTAGGCTACTTGCGTAACAGTTAGGCTATGTCAATCCCAGTCTATAATGAGTGCTTTAAGTAAAACGTTACCAGAACTTCTTCTCACAGCGTGTAATCTGCCCAGAGGGGTAGTGCACATTCCTCCAGATCTACTTGACAAGATCCTGCCAACTTTAATTTAGTTTAATTGGCTCTAAGTGAGCTCGATGGGCCTATGTTCTTATGTCAAAACTCGCCAGGAGAGCAGGTAAGTCTAGAGCAACCTGTTCAGTAAAAGTAATCCTGCGAAATCGAAAAGTAAGGAACAATGTCACCGGCGGCGTTTCTTCGGCGCTGACTAAAATAACCTGTTCAGCTTCTGTTTCTGACTTGTGAAATGCAAAATGCTTTTTGGTAGTGATGGCCAAAACGACGCTTCATGAACTATTTGCAATAATTTTTGAGCCCATGTGGCGCTTTTGGGTTCTGGTTCGGTATGCTTTGAGCCCTTTTTTGAACAGAGAGCGCCATCGAGTGGCGTCAGAAAATAGAACACAGGGTTCCAGAAGTGTCATTTTGGCCATCACTGCTGTTTGGCAAGTGTTTGTCACGTTCTGACAATAAAGAATAGATTATAACTACGATTAACCATCTGGTTTCTTCCACTTTAACATAGGAGTAAAAATCAGCCTTGAAATGAATGGGAAAGAAATAATGATTTGATATTTATAACTGTCGATATGACAGATATGAATTTTTTTACCGCGATAACATTTTTGCCATATCGCCCAGCTCTACAGCTGTGCCCCAGTCCCTCTTACTTTCACAAAGACCAGGGTAACCACAGACTTACCCCATCTGTCTAATACGTCTGTGAATTGACTAATATTGCTTACACATTTTAAATGGTCAGGTTCGTGTAGATTTAAATCACAATTTCCAATTGTAGTCAGGGGTGCTATAAAGTTTGGATGATCCCAAAGGGCCCTGCCTGACAGGTATTCTAAAAAAATCTGAACATAACTGGACTGGTCTGGGTTTGGGACCCAGTACGGTATGCTCTCATGGGGCCCAAAATCCTTCTGTGTAACAAAAACCAGGACAACCCTGAAAATGTGAAAGAAATGCCATGCTTCACTGGGAGTCTGTGGAATATGAATCGGGAATATGGTAATAGAAATGGAATATGAATTTGAATATAAATATCAGACGCTTGGAAAATGTGTAAATGTTGCAAGGTTAAATTGTAATGCATGAAATCAGTCTGAATCAATGGCAGATGGTGCATTTCAAAATGAGGGAAGCACTGTTTGGGCTGTTGGCAGAATGACCAAAGACGGTCTTTTCTTATTTCAGTCTGTCAACTACGTTTGTGAATTCTGCTCTCCTTCATCAAAGGACTTTGGAATAAAGTCGACATTAGCTGCAGTGTCGACCACGTTGCTACAAAACCACTACCACAGCCTGAAGACACACAGCTACTGTAGGTTAGCAAGCTAACTACCAAGCTAAAAATCACTAACTTGAAAGTTGAACAAATGACCAAGTTCAAAACTCAGTGATAACTTTATTTATAGTATTTACACTTGCCAGAGGCGGAAGATGACACACGAAGCGATACGGTCACTGGGTTGCAACTAAATGCTTCTACACAGGAAGCAAGCTTTGGCGTGTTTCCTGTGGTTTCAATCCATGTTCTGCCTTTCTCAATATGCTGATTTTGACATCTCACCTTGTGTGACTATTCCAACAAGCAGGCTACCTTATACCTTGTGGTGTCGGGCGGACCGGGGCATCGACGGGAGCAGAGAGACACGGGGACTTGCTCGCCGGGGAGACCGAGCTCTTTATTCGCAGCCCTTAAGAGGACTACATCAGGCACCCAAGGAGCACCAGACCAACTACACACAGGAAACACAAGGTTGTCAGCCACCAAAGTGTAAGATGGACGAACAGTGGGAGATTTATACAAGCTAAATCCACGAGAGGATCGGACCAGGTACACACAAGACGCGGGCAAACACATGCACGACAGTAGGGAAATGCGACCATTAACATTAACAACAACAATACAACAAGGGCTATTTTCAACTGCACATGGGACATGCTGGGACATGCTGGGACATGCTGGGACATGCTGGGACATGCGCCCCACCGGTGCTACAATATAAAAACGGTTCCTTTCATCCAGGATCTTCAACCTCGGCTTACAGCACACAGTTTGTGTGGGGAGGGGCTGAGGGTGAACCCAACCGCTGGAGTGAGGTCCAGATCAGATTCAGACACCCCAGGAGGTGGAGTGAAACGGAACTTCTGCAGAAGTGAGGTGAAGAAGAGGAAGAGCTCCATCCTGGCCAGACTCTCACCAAGACACGCCCGACGCCCTGGAGGAAAGACAGATGGGGAGATACTCTCTGTTTATTAAGGGGGATGACGGACAACGATATTCAGACAGTTAGCCAGAGGAAAAAGCAGAGCTCCGTTCATAAGCATTTTACTGAAGGCCAGAGAAGAACCTGAGCTGTACCTGCAGAGAAGGGCAAGAAGGCGTCCCTCCTTCTGAAGCGGCCCTGATCGTCCAGGAAGTGGCCGGGGTTGAAGGTATGGGGAGTCTCCCATTCACTCTCATCATAAAGTACAGACGTCAACAGCGGGATGACAGTGGTCCCCTGTAGGGAACAAGGAAAAACCACTGAGCTCAGTTATTGCAGTTATACTCAATAGCAAACACTACATTTCAGATGACGTGAGCAAAATACCCTAAAGACAAGGCATAGAAAGACTAAGTCTGGGAAGTATCCTGATGGTAAAGGGAAAAGAGCTCACTTTCTTGATGTGGTATCCCCGGAAGACCACGTCACAGCTTGTGATGTGAGGGAGACTCATTGGAACAATGTTGGCCAGTCTCTGTATCTCGTGGATGACGGCGTCTGTATACGGCAGGTTCTTCCTGTCCACCACTCGAGTCTGCCGACCCCCAGTGACCATGTCCAGCTCCTCCTGTACACGGTCTATTGGTGAATGGGGACAGGGGCAGATTAACTTCTCTGGGGAACATGGCTAGGGGCCCCCCTGTGTGACACTCGAGCTATTTTTTGGAGCCAACAGAGGAACAAGACAGAATGCAGGGGGGTAAAATTTACCAGTTGGGTACCGTGTTAAGACCTGTGTAAATGAGTCTGTCCTCACCCTGTAAATGGGGGTACCGTGTTAAGGCCTGTGTGAATGTGTCTGTCCTCACCCTGTATATGGGGGTACCGTGTTAAGGCCTGTGTGAATGTGTCTGTCCTCACCCTGTATATNATGGGGGTACCGTGTTAAGGCCTGTGTGAATGTGTCTGTCCTCACCCTGTATATCGGGGTACTTGGCCATAAGCAGCAGGCCCCAATGCAGTGTGGTCGCAGTGGTGTCAGTTCCAGCTCCAAAAAGGTTGGACACTGTAATGATGAGGTTCTTCTCATGGTAGTAGGAGAATTCTTGCTCCCTGGATTTCTGGTAGAGATTGCAGAACATGATATGATAAATAAACAGAAAACTCAAAGCTGGAAGAAAAGTATGATCAATGTAGATGTTTCCCATTGAACACTTTCGTACCTTAATCTCCTGCTGTCGGATAAGAAAGGAGTCCACGAGGCATCTCCTGTCCTCAGCATTCAGAGTCTCCTGCAGATTCTTCACCAGACCTTTCACCTGCTCTATGTTGCTCTTAACAATCTTCATCAGGGTGACCCAGTCCTTCAGCCAAGGACCCAGGCGTGGAAACATGTTATACAGCTGCCACCACAGAAACAAAAACCATATTAGATTTTGTTACCAAGAGATACTTATTTCAATTCATTACTCAGCATTACTTTTTAATGGAATTTGTCAGGGAAGGCAGGCCTACAGCTAATTGGTGTTATATTTAATTAATGCATTGAAAAATTTATTAGAAAAAAAGTACCTGGATGGCAGGTGAACCAGCAAGGATGGTACTTTCGTTTGCTAGATTGACCAACCTTTGGAACTCTGGGTCATCATATGCAAACCTACTGCCATAGACGATGGCGGAAATGATGTTGGAGACTGAGTAATTCACTGCTCGAGTCGTGTCAAAGGGTTCGCCTGAGCAGCAGGAATGAGGAAGACAACAAAGATTTTTTTTTGTTTGTGCTGCTTTTGTTTCAAAGATAGAAATGTTTGTTTGCATGGTTACATGACACCGTGAAGTTGCCCCCCCCCCCCCTTTTGCCCACAGTTTCAACCAAAATCAATCGTTTTTATCGGAGAAATTTTCATTTGTACAGCTTTAATTTCTGAGACATATATGTGTGTTTACATGGTCACGTATACTTGATAGTGTAACCAAGCAAAATATACAATAATAAATCAATAAAACTTGTCACTGTGGAACTAAATATACGTAATTAATCTAATAAAACATCAGTGAAACAATTCTTATCAAGCTACATATAGTTATAATCGATAAAACACTGCTATCAAGCTGAATATACATTGATAAGATATTAAAACATCAGTTATACTATCAAGCAAATCATTTTTATTAATGATGAATAAAAACACACTTTCCAAAACATTTGTAAATATATTTTATTGTCAACACTTGTAGCAGCAGTTAGGGTGAACTTGAAACTATCACCAGCCTAAGAGATGAGGGACACTTCATAGGGGATGCAAGTTGGACGGGGGATGCGTGGTAGTGACAAGCATTTATATCTCAGAAACTAAAGCAGCACAAACGAAAATTTCAATGGCACAAACCAACAAACGACTGAATCTGGTTTGGTTAGAATCTGAAACACATGGGCAGCCAACTTCACACAGGTCAAAAACATTTATGAAACAACTTGAAAACTTTTGCATCATTAAATAATAAATATGGGTTAACAGTTATGCAAGTCAATTAAATCTGCAAAACTTCCCTGTATATGCAAGACAATCAGGTCTTGCGTGGTGTAATTTGATCTCATTATGTCGTAATAAAGCAAAATGTTCTAGAACTGACTCTCAAACATAATTAGCTTTGACTGATAGTTATATTTTTATATTTTGTAAGCATTAAAAAATGACATTGAATCATCAATGCAGTAACTAACCATTTAATGATCTTGTAAGTTTACAAGTTAACAACCATTATCTCACCTTTGAAGTTTTCAAACACCTCTGACATGTAGTGGATCTCCTCAATGATCTTCTCCTCACTTCCTCGTTTTCCCATCCCCAAATCCCGAAGGGTGGATAAAGCAAAGCGTCTCATCTCCTTCCATGAGTCTCCATTGGAAAACAGGACTCCTGTGTGGGATTGGATTGCTGTCATTTTTATTCATGATACTCAAAGCATTACTGTAAACATGTGTGTGATCAATGTAGATTCCATGTTTCTCACCACACCCCCTTTTGTTACTGAATGGAGTACACTCACACTCACACTCACACTCACACTCACACTCAGCCATAAAACAAGGGTAACACTAAACAGGTCATGCTGAAACATGTCTGTAAGGAATGTGCAATAGGGTCAGTGGATGTTTTTCATACCATGGCCTTCAGTGACATCATAAAATAATGGAAATATGTCCCGTTCTCCAAATTCCTCTGCATGGTTTCACAGTCTTGAAGCCATTAAGAACCACCACTTTCTTGGGGCCAAAGTGGACAGTGAACACAGATCCATATTTTTCAGACAGTTGGAGAAGAGAAAGAACTTTGATCAGTCTGATGAAAGTTACTGTAAAGAGAGAACATGGTCATTGGTGGGAAGGGGAGTCATATGACCAGAGGCTGATAATGCTGATTAATTTTGATTGTTGCTTTGCGTTTGTTTGAGTTTGGTTTTTTATTTCAGCTCTCCTTTTGCAAAGTGACATTTATGTGTTCAGCCCCACCCATGACACAATATCGTGGAAACAAAAAAAGGTTCTGTTCACCATTCCGATGAGCATGGAAGATCTTTTAACCCAAATAGTACAAATAAATTAAAATCTGGAGATGCAGAACCACGAAATACCCACACAATTTTTACCATAAAAATGTACAATATGTAGAAAATGTACTAATGTAATATTTTGTTTGACCTTTATCCTCTGGAATGACACCGAGCTAATACATACGTAATTGATTTAATTAACTAATCATAATAACAAATGCGACACTTACCAATGATGTACAGTAGGTGAAATAAACACGACATTATTCAAAATAAAATGCACACCAAGAAACAATGTAATAATTTTACTAGGGATGCAACGATCCGACTTTTTCAGATCTGAAACCGATACTAATACCTGGGTTTTGGGTATCGGCCGATCCAGAGTACCGATCCGATACCAGTGTTTAATTAAAAAGCTGTATGTCTCACTGTGGGGAGGAGACTGAAATTATTCTGTTTACGGAAACATCAGCCTTAAATATAAATTGTTTTCCTAACTTTGTAAGACACTGTAACAAATGCACATATGTATACATTGAATTATTAATTATTAATAATCAGCCTGCTAATGGTTACTTTTAATGGGGCAACGACAGATAAACTACGAGACAGGCATTCGAAAACTGCATCTCTCTGTATGCATGTAATAGACTTTCACTAGATGTATTGACAGATTGCTCGTTTCCGCCCTTACGTGCAAAACGACTTGTTACTTGGTCATTGTCAGCATCGACTGAAATGTAACTACACTACTGAATGTTTAGTTCTCTCCGCCATCGTCACTAAAAGCAGAGTCTGTGTGTGTGCGCGCTGCGCGTGAGAGAGGCGTTGTGTGATTTTAATGTGGGATTTTCCACTAAACGCTACGCCCACCTCTCAAAACTTTGTTTTTACAAAGATTGCAACTCGCTGTACTACTAGTTGTCGTTTCAAGCGTAAAATACTTACAGAACGATACCCATCTATCTGATGTTCTCTACCTACAGTATTGCAAAGGGATTGCACATGTAATGTTGTGAAAATGCGCAACACAAAATAAAATATTCAAGATGTCTAATAGACTGAGCGCTCAGTTTGAATGCCACAAAAAAAAAAAANAGGGTGGATAAAGCAAAGCGTCTCATCTCCTTCCATGAGTCTCCATTGGAAAACAGGACTCCTGTGTGGGATTGGATTGCTGTCATTTTTATTCATGATACTCAAAGCATTACTGTAAACATGTGTGTGATCAATGTAGATTCCATGTTTCTCACCACACCCCCTTTTGTTACTGAATGGAGTACACTCACACTCACACTCACACTCACACTCACACTCAGCCATAAAACAAGGGTAACACTAAACAGGTCATGCTGAAACATGTCTGTAAGGAATGTGCAATAGGGTCAGTGGATGTTTTTCATACCATGGCCTTCAGTGACATCATAAAATAATGGAAATATGTCCCGTTCTCCAAATTCCTCTGCATGGTTTCACAGTCTTGAAGCCATTAAGAACCACCACTTTCTTGGGGCCAAAGTGGACAGTGAACACAGATCCATATTTTTCAGACAGTTGGAGAAGAGAAAGAACTTTGATCAGTCTGATGAAAGTTACTGTAAAGAGAGAACATGGTCATTGGTGGGAAGGGGAGTCATATGACCAGAGGCTGATAATGCTGATTAATTTTGATTGTTGCTTTGCGTTTGTTTGAGTTTGGTTTTTTATTTCAGCTCTCCTTTTGCAAAGTGACATTTATGTGTTCAGCCCCACCCATGACACAATATCGTGGAAACAAAAAAAGGTTCTGTTCACCATTCCGATGAGCATGGAAGATCTTTTAACCCAAATAGTACAAATAAATTAAAATCTGGAGATGCAGAACCACGAAATACCCACACAATTTTTACCATAAAAATGTACAATATGTAGAAAATGTACTAATGTAATATTTTGTTTGACCTTTATCCTCTGGAATGACACCGAGCTAATACATACGTAATTGATTTAATTAACTAATCATAATAACAAATGCGACACTTACCAATGATGTACAGTAGGTGAAATAAACACGACATTATTCAAAATAAAATGCACACCAAGAAACAATGTAATAATTTTACTAGGGATGCAACGATCCGACTTTTTCAGATCTGAAACCGATACTAATACCTGGGTTTTGGGTATCGGCCGATCCAGAGTACCGATCCGATACCAGTGTTTAATTAAAAAGCTGTATGTCTCACTGTGGGGAGGAGACTGAAATTATTCTGTTTACGGAAACATCAGCCTTAAATATAAATTGTTTTCCTAACTTTGTAAGACACTGTAACAAATGCACATATGTATACATTGAATTATTAATTATTAATAATCAGCCTGCTAATGGTTACTTTTAATGGGGCAACGACAGATAAACTACGAGACAGGCATTCGAAAACTGCATCTCTCTGTATGCATGTAATAGACTTTCACTAGATGTATTGACAGATTGCTCGTTTCCGCCCTTACGTGCAAAACGACTTGTTACTTGGTCATTGTCAGCATCGACTGAAATGTAACTACACTACTGAATGTTTAGTTCTCTCCGCCATCGTCACTAAAAGCAGAGTCTGTGTGTGTGCGCGCTGCGCGTGAGAGAGGCGTTGTGTGATTTTAATGTGGGATTTTCCACTAAACGCTACGCCCACCTCTCAAAACTTTGTTTTTACAAAGATTGCAACTCGCTGTACTACTAGTTGTCGTTTCAAGCGTAAAATACTTACAGAACGATACCCATCTATCTGATGTTCTCTACCTACAGTATTGCAAAGGGATTGCACATGTAATGTTGTGAAAATGCGCAACACAAAATAAAATATTCAAGATGTCTAATAGACTGAGCGCTCAGTTTGAATGCCACAAAAAAAAAAAAAACAACTGAAATGGTAATGAGCTGTCGGGCAGTTAATTGTACAAATCGATTTAACAAGAAACATGAGCTGTCTTTTTACAGACTGCCGAAAACTAAGTATCGGACGTGGATCGGGTCGATACCCGATCCGTGTAATTAATTATGGATCGATACCGATCTCAAAGTCGGAACGGCGCAGCTGTAAATTTTACCCTCCAGAGTGAGAGATCAAGTCTCTTGAGGTCCAGCTGCAGCAGGTTTCCTATGAGAGGCAAAGGTCCTGGGGGCTCCTTTCCCGGGCTGTGATTGGTGGAGAGAAGCCAGAAAACAAGAAAAAGCAGCAGAGCAGCAAGCAAGGTGACCGTGCTGGGAAACTGGAAAAGTTCCTGTAGCAGAGCCATAGTGCCCTTTTTCTCAGCCCTCAAATACTTTCTGTTTATTTATCGGATGAGAAAACCACACCTTTTGTGGGTGTGACCTCTCAGTGGGCGGAGCAAAGAACTAAAACAGCGAATCATATGAATGAATACATGCATGAAAACAGAAAGGGGTTTTCACCTATACATACGCTGCTGGCATTTAAAATCCTATAAAATCTTAATCAGCATCACATATAAGAGTAAACTTAAATTAAATTCATATAGATATACATAAAAAAGTGTATCAAATAGATAATCAGAATAATTTAAATCAGAGATTTAAAAAGTGTTTCCACAGCCTTTGTATCGGCAGCTTGTACGATTTTCTCGAGTACCAGGTACTCTATTGGCCATGGAGAATCGCATTCTTTGTTCAGTTACATAAGATAGGACATCATCATTTGAACGACATTTTTAATACGTCTTATGCCCCATACATACAAATCCAGTGGTATCAGAATGTGTCCTGAAGTTACTGCTTGGAGACTGGCTTTCCTTTTACTGGTTTAGTGGTTGCAAAGAAATGCCACTCCGCTTTGACTTCAAAATCTCTTTGGTGACACATAAGATTTTGTTCTGCAAGTGAGCTCCATCTGAGAAGTAAAACATTCTGGATAGATGTGGTGCTGCTTTCGTAGGTAGATCAGGACATCCTGCTGAAATCTGCGCACAGCTGATGTGTCATGATGCAGACAATCACCAACAACACACATGCTCTCAGTTCTCCTTGTTTCTTGAAATAAACAATGAAAAGATGAAGTGTAGCTTGAGAATGTTCCTAATGAAATCCCTGTGCAGCATCTCGTACCATAAAGCTGTAATTCTCAGCGAAGTCCAGGATCACCACGGCTTTGATTGGTCTCACCAGCTCATGGTATGTGACTCTCTGGTCTCCAGCTGGCAAACCAGCAAGCATCAACTTTAGATTTTGGCGAATTTGGTGACACAAACTAAGTGTGTTCCTCGACCTCCCACAGCGATGCAGTGATCTGATCAAAGCATGCAGAACTGTGGAAGCCATATCTTGTCCTCAGGAAATCATGCTTTGTAATTTTCAAAAAGCTCATTCAAATTCATAAGGATCAATCTTTTTTGCTTGTGCTCATGCTTTCCTGTCACACTGGACTTCACGGACTTGTCCTTTGCCCCTGGGAGTTATAATGAACGCCTATAACAAACCCCAAAGCTCGGCGTTTTTGTCCCCCTCTGGTGGTAGTAATTCGAACAAGCAGTAGTCAAAGTAAACTTTATTGTCATCTCTGCTATAAACATTACAGTATACAGAGACGAGACGACGTGGGTTAACTTCCTCACAAATTCCTCAACAGCAGTATAAAGAATTATATTAAAAATGACTTACTAAACAAATACATACATACTACAGTACATTTCAAAATATTCGTGATTTTTAATAATGAAGGGTTAATTATTTAAGAAATACAACTAATAATTTTATGACTGTATGGCCTCTAACCCAATGAAGAAAATAGACAAGGGAACTGAGACTAGGATGAGGTGATCTTACCCGTAAATGGGAAAAAGCAGGAACTTACAGCAAGGGAACGGGTCAAGATGACCTTGTTCTAGACACTAAGAGAACAGGAACCCATCTTATTGCTGACACTCATTTTTTACCCTTGTTTGGGAACATGCACACATACTAACTAGAGCAAAAGCTAAAGTATGATGTAGTCACGTAGATGGAAAAGTACAGACGAGGGGGGCCACACCCCAAAAGGCCTATAAAGACCTAGAGCCGACCCCTAGAGTTCGAGCGTCTTCTTGTACATGCTGAATGTATGTCGGATGTTTGCTCCCTGATTATAATCAGAATAGCTCCCTGGTTATAATCAGAATAAACTGGTGACTTGCAACCACTCCTCGACTGTGCAGTGAATCTCTTCTCATCAACGGACCCGGCGGAGTTCTGACTCCAACAATAATTAAAACATTTCGATATTATCGTTCTTCTCAGTATTATTAGATTATCATGCATATATTGTGTGAAAGAGCAGATTGTGTTTGCATCATAAAAACAAACATGGTTTCTGTTTCATAGCGGTATTTTTATTGTATTAATAGAAGTGCAGATAATATGAGAAAATGGACGACAATAAACAACTCTAATGAAGCCTGTTGCATATGAAATTCAGAAACAAACTTTTGGAAAATGTGTAAATGTTTAAAGAATTAAATTCCAATGTCCGTCTGAGCTTAACATCTGACCCTGTGTAATTATTCTAATTAAGTGGATTACTTTACAGTATGTTGAAAGTGCTCCGTACAAATAGGGTTGGAAGCCGAAAGTAGGTTCCAAATTGGAACCGATAAGAAAAGCCATTATTTTGTAAGCTATTTATCTAATGTAAAACTTTCCAACTACCGTCCTTGGCGAACTGTTTAAAAAACAGTAGTATGGTCTAGAATGTGTGTCTGTCTCAAACGTGGATAGTGGCAAGTGCTCAAAAGCGTCGGTTCACTGCACTAGACAAGAAAAACACAAGGCAGAGTGCAGGTTGTACATCCAACATAATCAAGCATTTAAGGCAGCACAGGATAGATCTGAAAGAGTGCATGGTGTCTGACGCCTTGCGGTCTCCGAGCTCCAATCAACCATCTTCAGCACTAGCGCCTCACAAGCAGGGAAAACCAACCGTGACTCCTCCTTCTCGCTGGCGTTAAAGGGAAAGATGGCCAAAAGAAAAACTGAGGAGTGTCACAGAGCAGTAGCTTCATTTGCGGTGAAAGGGCTACATCCCTTCTCAGTTGTCGAATCTCCGTCATTTAGGTATGCAAGGTTTATGATAAAAACAAATGTGTCGATTGTTTTTTTTTTTTTTTTTTTTTGATGATGATGATGATGATGGTAAGGTAACTTATGGGATTTTCTGAATGTATATAAGAAAAATATATTTGTTATCTAAACATCCTCTTTTTTTTAAGAACCGGAATTGATAACCAGAACCGGAACTGGAATCTATACAATTCACACAATACTCAACCCTACTTACAAATCTGAATTTGGGATCCTCAAGCTCGACTGACAGCACACAGTTTGTGAGGGGAGGGGCCGAGGGTCAACCCAAAACATGGAGTGAGGTCCAGATCAGATTCAGACACCCCAGGAGGTGGAGTGAAACGGAACTTCTGCAGGAGTGAGGTGAAGAACAGGAAGATCTCCATCCTGACCAGACTCTCTCCAAGACACGCCCGACGCCCTGGAGGAAAGACAGATGGGGAGATTCTCTCTGTTTATTAAGGGGGATAACGGACAACGATATTCAGACAGTTAGCCAGAGGAAAAAGCAGAGCTCCGTTCATAAGCATTTTACTGAAGG